GAGAGGGATTGGTTTTGTTTTGGAAGTGCCATGTCTAGAGTTCAACAATGGTGCTGACTAAATTTTCCTTTTTATGGGGTTTGGCTGTAGGTCTTGATTATTGATGGGAAGATGCAGAGTGCCGAACTTGATGAATTTATTTACCATGAATGCTTGATTCATCCGGCTCTCCTATTTCACCCAAAGTGAGTCCATTCTACTCTGTTTTGGCCGAAGTAATCTTCTGTTGCTTGGCATGAAAGAGATAAGAATTGTAGTTTTTATTGGATTGACTTTTTATACAGCCCCAAAACTGTTTTCATTATGGGGGGAGGAGAAGGGTCTGCTGCAAGGGAAGCGCTGAGGCATAAATCCATTGAAAAGGTTGTCATGTGTGATATCGACGAGGTGAGTGAAACATTTATTCAGTCACTCTGGACTAACTATTTATCTCATGTGGACGGAACTGAAAGTCTTAAGCATTTGTGATAACAATTAAGCTCTGCTATTGTACATATAGAGTGTTTATCATGCATTATTTTGGTTTTCTGTCTTGTTTTTGGGATGATATGTAGTAATAATAGTGAGGTTTTTGCAGGAAGTGGTCAATTTCTGCCACAGATTCCTGCTAGTAAACCAGGAAGCATTTTCTAACAAGAAGCTCAAACTCGTTATCAATGATGCCAAGTGAGTAATGGCCAGGAAGCATTTTGCTAGCTAGTGCTGAATTTCTTTATAGTTTCTAACTCTCTTGAGTGTGGTTCTTATCAAGGGCTGAATTGGAGAAGAGGACTGAGAAATTTGATGTCATAGTTGGAGACTTAGCAGATCCGGTTGAGGGAGGACCATGCTATCAACTCTACACAAAATCATTCTATGAGAGAATTCTCAAGCCTAAGCTCAATCACAATGGCATCTTTGTTACTCAGGTGAGCTTTCCAATCTCCCCATTTCCTTATTTTTCTAGGGCCATACGCCCCATGTCAAAACAAAAACCAGAAATCTGAGGCATTTTTTGTTGAATGAATAGGCTGGACCGGCTGGAATTTTTACCCACAAGGAGGTCTTTTCATCTATATACAATACAATCAAACAAGTGTTCAAGTGTAAGTGTCTCATCCAACTAATAAATTTCCAAGGGACGGAGTTAGTAATTGCCCTGCCCAAAGTTCATTCTGTTCTGGTTGTTCTGTGCAGATGTGAGGGCTTACACAGCTCATGTACCATCTTTTGCTGATACCTGGGGATGGGTTATGGTATGCATACCCAAGTTTATTTTGTCAATGGACTAATATAATGATCATTGTGTACTTAAACTTTTGCTCTATTTTAATATAGGCCTCAGACCAACCCTTCTCTATTAGTGCTGAGGAGATTGACAGTAGAATTGCAGAAAGAGTTGGTGGTGAATTGCAATACTTAAATGGGGCTTCACTCATTTCCTCTTCCACCATGAACAAAACTGTTTATCTCTCGTAAATTCGAAGTTACTCTATAGATTAATGAACAAAATGCCACAGTTTTTCCCAATTTGATAAGTTGTTAGTAACATATTATCAACTTGCTCTTTGCAGGCTGTTGAATGAAACTCATGTCTACACAGAAGAAGATGCAAGATTCATACCAGGGCATGGAATTGCTTACCGCCATTGACGTCTGGGACCTAGGCTTGGGGGATTGTTGTACAAAAAAAACCAAAGAAAAGGGTTTGAATAAATGTAAGATGGCAGAAAAAAAGCCATCTCCACAGAAATCAATCATTAATTGTCAGAAGCTCTCTCTGAATTTAATGAATTCTGAGGCATTCCTCCATTCCCATTTATTTAGAATCGGCTTTTCCACTGTTTTTCTATTCGCTATTGTTTCATGAGATATACAAAACATTCAATTATTCAAATTGAAGAAATTTATTTTGCAAATTCAGAAGTTTCATACCGATATATATAGTAAAGTGAAGTGACTACATTAACCATGATAATACAGAAGAGAGGAAGAGGGATGGTAAGAAAATTCACGGGGAACTTCCATATTTTCCTCAGCTTCTCTTGACAGGATCAAAGTTTGCAACCCCAATAACAGCACCAACAAGCACAACAAGCACAACTCCACCAGCTAAAATGCTCAGCAAGAAGTTCTTGAGAGATGGGGTGACACCGGAGTCAGCAGCTTCTGCCACCTGAGGAATCACCATAGAAACTGTCAGTGCTGCTGCTGATAGTCCAGTCACTGCCTTTTCCTTCAAGGAGGCCTGAACTTGAAGCCTGGCCCTAGACTTTGGCTTTGAAGAGAAAGGAGTCTTTGAGTGCCTTAAAGGCAATGGCTTGAATAAAGATTCAGATGTTGGATGGAGAACCCTATTGTGGGTTGCAGAACTTAGTGGCATAGACATTGGAACTGAGGCCATTTTGCAATGTGATTGGTTCTTTGCAGTTCTGTGTTTGCTTAGAGGACAATAATAAGTTTGATGAAGAAATGAAGTGGATAGAGAAATGAAAACGAAATGAGATGAGAGGTGGAAATTGGAGATTTTCTGCTGACATGTCACTCAGGTGTTCACCTATGTGGCAAATTCTATACCAGGGCTTGAAAGATAAGGTTATCCCACTCAATCCATCTACTAGACTACATGCTGTCTGCTTCTCCACGTCATGGAAAGAAACAGAAGTTAGCTTAAATTGAAATCTGATTAGTCCTAAAGGAATCTATCAGATGCAATAGCATTTCAGCACTATAATCAACCTATTATCACATATGGTCCTTAAATACCTGTTTCGTCTATTGACAATTGATTTTAGATTAAAAGGCATTTTATGTTTCGGTTTGTTCACGTATCAAATTTTCACATGAAACTTACAAACTGTTGAGAGAGGATTTTCATTGAATTCACACATTATCACTCATTGAGAATTCCAGGAATCCCATTTTTCCTGTTCTACTGAAGTCTGTACCTCAGGCCCACAAAACACAGGCTAAAACATATTTTAGTCTTTTATCTTAATAAATTTATACGTTTTAATCTTTTATTTTATATTATGACATTTTTAACCCTTTACGTTAATAAGTTTATAGATTTTAATCATTCACCTTATACTATAACACTTTTAATCTCTCACTTATACGAATTGAAAAAAATAACCCTTACTTAAAATTAAATTATAACGTTTTATTAATTCTATTAGTTGACTGTTAATTCTATTAGTTGATTGTTAGTGTTTCGTTAATATTTCGTTAATAAAACTAACAAATAAAATTGAATTTAAATTTCATATTTTTTATAATGAAATACTAACGGATGCTAACAGTCATCTAACAGAATGTTATAACTTGATGTTAAATAATGATTATATTATGACATTTTTAACCATTTACGTTAATAAGTTTATAGATTTTAATCCTTCACCTTATACTATAACACTTTTAATCTCTCACTTATACGAATTGAAAAAAATAACCCTTACTTAAAATTAGATTATAACGTTTTATTAATTCTATTAGTTGACTGTTAATTTTATTAGTTGATTGTTAGTGTTTCGTTAATATTTCGTTAATAAAACTAACAAATAAAATTGAATTTAAATTTTATATTTTTTATAATGAAATACTAACGGATGCTAACAGTCAACTAACAGAATGTTATAACTTGATGTTAAATAATGATTATTTTCTTTAATTCGTATAGGTAATGGGTTAAAAGTATCATAATATAAAGTGAGGAATTAACACCTACAAACTTATTAAGGTAAAAAACTAAAAGTGTCATAATATAAAATAAAGAGTTAAAATCTATAAATTTATTAAAATAAGAGAT